TAATTGTTTTATATGTATACTAGTACAATATTTTCTGTCTCATACTATAAGAATTTGGAGACCAAAGAAGAATAAATGAAGGTTTGAAAACTTACATAGGTTTTGCTGTGCATACAACTAAACATATAAACACATGTGTCTTTTCCGAGTTCCATGTCAGCTACCTATCACCATCCTTGCTACTAACATATCTTAGAAGCTTATTTCCATATGATTTCAGTCATTTATACACAATTCAATATGTTAACCATGAAGAAGCCACAGGGGCCAGAAGCTTACATTGTTTGATAGTTAAGTCCAGCTAACCATATCTCTCTTTCTCTTTATCTTCTTTCTCTGGTTTTCCTGGCAAGAAGTCAATCTAAAGAGACATGTGTGCCTCTCAATTTGACAAACCACTGAATCAATGACTCCCCCCTAAAAGTGGAATTTCTCCAGGAATCTCACACTGGGAGAAGGAAAACACCACTACCAGATGGAGAAATGACTTCCTAAAAGATTTCACGCTATTTTTGTTACTTGCCAGACCACGTAAGGCCTGAGTCTGTACCAGATAATGATGGGAGAATGATGGACAGGACCACACCTTGACAAGGACTACTCATGTGTGCATATATTTGGGTCTCTGTTTAAACTTTGATCTCACTTAGAGAAAATGAAGATGGGCAGTGGGCTTTTTAAAAATCTTTTTGTCCTTCTTCCAAATGTGGCTACATTAATAAATATCCCTTTTCTGCCTTCCAATATTAACTTGGCTCTTTATATTGGACAGATATTGAGGCCTGACCCACCAGGTCCACTTTGCTATGTTTAGTAGGCAGCTCTGTGAGTCCTTCGTCCCCAGATTGAGACCTAACACTATGCAAGTGTTCTCACATGTGCGGATTCCACCGGATATTGGTAGATTTAACTAAAGTTAAATTCTTTGAGAAATGTGATCTTTCTCCTTACAGATAACTATTACTAGGAGCTCCTTGGGTCTGGTTAAACTTCCTATGGAAGTCCACTTTCCGTAGTGGAATTTGGTGTGGTTTAGGCTTGCACAGGACTTGGGTTTGGTGTCACAGCCAATCCCAGGTCTTATGTGCTGCTGCTAAGCTGTGTCCAGAAGATGCTGTTTCTCTTGTACTCCTCCACCACCTTGTGCTCTTGCATGTTTTCTGCCCTCCTTTTGCAATGATCCCTGGGCCTTTAGATTAGAAGTGAACTGTGTATTTTCCATTTAAAACTGTACATTCTGTAGTCTCTTCCTCTATCCACCTTGACCATGTTTGTTTTTCACTATGGAACTCTGCTGGCCTGGAATTCACTATGTGGACCAGGATGGCCTTGAACTCATCTACCTTCGTTTGCTTCTGCATTCTAACTGCTGGGATTAAAGGAGCGAGCCAGGACACCTGGCTGCAGGTTGGGAAGCTTATATCTTATTTCCAAAGTTATGTTCTTCTCATGTTTTTGTTACTGTGTATGAGAAGCTCTCAAGTCCTGGGATCACAGGCAGTAGATGCATGTAGTTTATATAACATAACCCAATAAATGTGGATCCATAGTAAAAAGAATTCTGAAAGAACTAGAATTCTAGGTATAGGTGAAAACTGATGTTTAAACTTGTTCTCACTGAGACATCTGTATGCTCATGTTCACTGAGTCATTATGATAGCAGATAAAATAGAGTCTACTGGAAAACTACAACCAGAGGAATAAAATACATATGATATGATAAACATGGAGGTTAAAATATTAGACATTCAAAGCAAGTATTGCCATTTGTGGTAACTTGGCTGCCTGCACAAAAGAAATTCTTACCGAGATTTTCATCACCAGAATATACCTTTGGTTTAAATGATTTAAAAGTGTGATAGAGATAAAATACAATACAAACTTTATACCTGTTAGATAAAGAAGACACCTTTATCTCAGAAACTCAAAGACAGAGAAAATTTCTGAGATCTTGGATGGTAACTCCCCTCCCACTGACCAGAGCACTGAATCAGGGCAGTGGGGTGAAAGGCTTCAAATATCCAAGGGGAGAAACCATTTCCAGTAATTTCAAATTCAGATAAAGTGAGTAATGACTGTTGGATACGCTTCACACATGCTCATATTTCAGCAGGGGAGTAACTACCCATGATGCAACAGACTTCTCTACATGATTCTGCTACTGTACTGTACTTGATAAACTAAAACATGCAATTTCCTCTTGCCATCCATGCTTGCAATGATTCTCCAGCCTCTAAAACTGGTTCTGGAAAGAGTCCAGGGAGGGTCCAGAGAGCCCTACTGTCCTCACCAGGGAGATCACAGCAGTACAGAGGGAGGGAAATGGCTTCCAGGTGTCCTGACTCTCAGATGCTGGACCTCCTGCAGTCTTACCTGCAGCATCTCCATGGTTGAGCACTGCAACCGATGTTCCAGATCTGAGATGAGGTTTCTCACTGACTCCCTCTGCTTCACCAGCTCATTTTGAGAATCTTCCAGGATGTCTAGAATGTCTTCCTTCTCTTTCATCAGCTTCTCAACCTCATTCTTCTCCTCGGAGTCCAGGAATTCCCGCAGTCCTTTCAACTCCATCTCAACGTTTTCTACCTCACTCTGTATTTGGTTCTTCAGGGATTACAAAAAGGGAGAGTTATTCAGACTGTCCTAATGGGACAGAGAGACAGAAAAAATATTGTTCTGATTGGGAGTTCTCATTGGAAATGAGTTTGGGTTGGGAAGGGAATCTTAGGGAATGAAGCATGTGTCTCTTTTCAGTATGTGTTCATGATATTCCAAAACACAGCCTTAGGTCACCTTTACCATGGTCATTTGAGCCAAATTGGGATGCAAGGATGTGGCTCAGATTTCACACAGGTGTCCCAGATCCCTATTCCTTTCTCTATACTCCTCATTCTGCCTCTGAACCCCTAAGAAAAAGTAGCCCCAAGGATAAAACTGTGACTGTTCCCAAGCATCTTCCCAACAATCAGAGTTCCATAAAGCACCACAGGATCAAGTCCCAGGACTCAGTGCCATTCTCACCAGGCCA